AACAGCCAGACTAACATCAAGTTGATTGTGGCATCATAATCTTTTTTTTTTTTTAAATCATCTCGGAATGATCATGGCCTTACAGACCGTGGACATACTTGTGAGGTTTTGATTTGGTAGCCTTTCTTAGCCTTCAAACAAAATTCATTCTGAAGGCAGTGGCTGCATGTCACTTTTCCTGTCCTTGGGTTCAGACCCTCCTTGACCCTCCCTGCATCGACCTTATCTCTGTGTTTGTAGCAATGACTGAAGGACTGGATGGTAGGGGGTGTATTCAGTTTGAGGAATCGGGAGTTATTACTGTCAATGTATTATTTTCTTTTTTTCTTGCCCTGCAGTGATTATAAATATTGAAGGTAATAACTTATGCTATTCTTGACATCTTGAATAAAAGGGCTCTTTTGCAACTTCACTATGTAGTGAATTTGGATAAAAAATCCTCATATATCCCCAAATTCCCTTTGGTTGTCTGGGCTTCCGCTCAAAGCCATTATGACTAGTTGTGGTCCCAGTGTGCCCAATGATTGTCAGACCCATCACTATTATTAGAATCCTCTGAATAAAAGGAAAAAGAAGCTTCTACGGTTGGGGTAGGAGCTATATTAAAATCATATCCTTCATACCGTTGCAATGGTATTGATCATACACTGTACACAGCAGAATGTTACATGCTCCTTACTCTTCATGTGATATGCTTTACAAATAAAATGTTGCTTTCACTGCTCTTTGGGGCTTGATCACTTTCTTCATAACTGTGCAATCACTAATCATTTAATGAGCATCTGTACTTTAAAACACCTTTAGGAAAAATGAGTAACAAGATAAGCCCCTAAAATTTGCATGTCCAACCTCACAATCTTTCTTATAACAAGACTGTATTCATTAAAACTAGAACAACTCAAGCCACTTAAGTCAACAAAGGAAGAAGGGTATTAGCCCATTGCTCCATTGCACACCCCAGTAACTTATATACAATTGTGTAACTGCTTGTGGGTTCTTTGCAAAAGATGTTTGCATGAAGGGCAATAGGGGATAGTTGTTTCAAAGGAGCTAAAAACACAATTTTGGTGAGAAGTTGATGAATTCCTTTTATGAAGCAATAAGGTCTCTTTTTACTCTAATGTGGTTTTAGGGTAGGGCTAGGGCTGAAGCTAGGAAGCAGGAACTCAAACAAGGTCTTCTGGTGGAGAACCCTGACCATTTCAGCCAACGATGCTGCCTGCCAGCGTATGCATTGGTTACAAGACAGAATCCAAACCAGAGGTGGGAGTCAAACCCAGGTATTCCAATATCAGACGTGAATATAGTAATCACTAGGTTAGATGGTGACCCCAGACAGCTGAATTTTTAACTTTTGCAAATTTGTGCGATACACATCTCAGAAATCTACTTGGATGCTGAAGTTTCCGTATGACATATCCACAGAATGAATGAGCAAGCTGAAGAGTACTCACTGTCCCATTCTAATAATAAACATAGTTGAAGAAGTCCTATTGAAAATATACACTTAGAAATCCAGAAACTTTGCCTATACACACATACGAGAATCCTCCCCTCCCCCAAATTTATGGTTGTTCTTTGCCACTGCAGATAAATTTCATGACAGCGAGTCCAATGCAACTAAATAATTCTGAAATCAAAGTAAGCATTTTGTTTATAGCTCTGGGGCAGAATGCTAGTTCATTATAGTTAAATGGTGTTCTTAGAATGCCATGCTTTTAATACTAAAATTGAAATTTTCAGTGCATGGTGAAAAAATGGTCCTGTATACTAACTTTCTTCATATCTTTCATAAAGTAGTTAGACCTCCTTTACACATCACATCATTTGTTTCCTAAGCTAAAAATGGGGGAAAATACCTGTTCAATCTTACCAAACAATGTTCTTATAATATTCTGACCATAAAAGTAATTCAACAATTATTTTCAAACTACAGGAAAAAGAGATCAATGTAAAGCAGCAGCAATAAAAACAACAGGAACAACACAGGTACAAATCTAAATTCCCTAAAAAAAACTTTCTAAAACAAGAAAATTTTTTTTCTAAAAATCTAAACAGCAGTTGTCTTTAACAGTGGAGTAGAAGTTTCTTTCTGGAAGCTCTCCATGGCCAGTAAGGAATTTTAACTAAATGATATACTTCAATAGCTTGGCTGAATAAATTATCTATCTCTGTAGGGTTTGGTCCAGATCGTTATGCAAATGTTGATGGTCTTGAAATGGAATGCCGCCTTTGAAGGCTGAGTCAATCACATGAGGATTTTTCATCACCAACTGGATGATGATTTGTGCTTGACTATGAAGCTATGATTATGCTCCCAAATAACAAGCCACGCGAGAGCAACTGCAGATGATTCACAGCCAGTTTCCTTCAAAGTTCACAAATTCTCAGTAAATCTTTGATTTGGGGTATATGATTTGCTTTTTTATGTGCAAGAATTGATCCAAGTATTTCTAAATTGTGACTGTGGGGTGAAGTGTTTGGTTCACTGGTATGGCAAAAAATGAGACATGTGAAGAAAGAACTGCCACAAAGTACTTTAATGACTGAAACTCCTAGGAAAATTGGATGCATTTATATTTCTCAACACTCCACTTTACTGAGTATGGTTACCAAAAAAAGTTGTACAATGCTCTGTGTATCTCTGCTGACTGCATTTATGCATGTGGGTTTTGCAGAAAGATTCAAGACTACACACAAAGTTACACATGATAAACAATCAGGAAGCAATCACAAATTGAAATACCTATTTTTCAAGGAAGCAAAAGTGGAAGAAACTTGTTTATTACAGTAAGACATAAGTCTAGAACAAACAACAAAGTGAAAAGAATGTTATTGTAGGATATAAGCAGGGGCTTCGAAAAGTGAATGAAAAAAAATTGCCTTCTACAAGTAAGCCTCTGAAATCAGCATATGAAAGACTAATCCGTACCACCATGTTTATAGCAACTCAATTCACAATAGCTAAGACAGCAATCAACCCAGATGTCTATCACTGATGGTTAGATAAAAAACAAGTACTATATACACATGAAGAAATACTACTCCTCATAAAAATACCGAAGTCTTTGCTTTCACAACAGAATGCATACAATTGGAGACCACTATGCATAGCATAGTGACATAAGCCAGTCCCCAAAAGATAAATAGCAAAACTTTGCCATTTTCCTCTGATCTGTGTTGACCAATATATAAAGCACACAAAAAATGTAATATATGAGTGAAATTGACATTTTGAGATTTCATTGTTGTTTGTAATCCTTATCTATACCTGTGAAGAACACAATTTTTTTCTACTTACTACTTGTTAAAAAAATTCTCTATTTAGTCCAGGATTAAGCTTGCGATAATAAAGTAAATTGAAAGTATGTCATCACAACAATTAAAAAAGTAAAGCAAGAAGGAGGACAGAGAGTGGGAGAAAAAGATGGAGAGAACAGCAATGATCATTATATTGTTAAAACAGTATATACGAAATCTGTTCCATTTATATAAATAAAGAAAAAAAAAGACACCCATATCTTATCCCAAAGGTAAAAAAGCCAACACTCCATTGATTCTTACAGCTTTTAAGTCAAAGTGTGTGGGGGCATGGAAATGGGATTTAAAAATCTTTCCTTAATCAGAAGGTGATAAGTTTCATGCTTTAAATTTGCATTTCAAACTTCCTTCCCATCATGAAAGAGAATACCATCTCATTTCTATCTGCTTGTTGGCATATATAATGGGTGTCCCTGCTTTTTCAGGGCACCTCAAAGCAGCATCCATCATGCAGTATCTTGTTGGTGTCTTCTATTCCCCATATACACAACATTGCCACAGTCCATAAGCATGGCAATGCATCTTTCTGTTTACATGCATACCTTCCTTTGCTAGAACACACACTCTTTTAAAACACAATGTATTTTATTCCTCTCCAAGTTTTTTCTTTTGCCATAGTGCATAGTGTGTATTAAATGTTCAATAAATGTTTATTCCATCAAAAATGATCTACATGTAAGTAACAGAATTTCTAATTTTTATGTAAATAGTCAAGTCTGGTAAATCTGCAGTGTCAATGATGTGTTTTTACTCATCTTGAAATTACAGCAAATCTACCCTGTTTTAAACTCAGAGTGTTCTGTTTTGAGTCCTATTTTAGAGTTGCCTTTCATTTTAAAGGCAGGCAAATAAGCAATCCAAACTTGCTTCCTTGTGTTAAGCTAACGTGGGTATTTAAAAAAATAATACTGCACTATGATTTTCACTAAACTAGGAAAGGTTATTTTGGAAAAGCTAGGACTTTAGATATTTGAAGTAGTAATTACTTCCTCCATAAATGTTACCTTTTAGAGTCAAATACTATTTTCCTGTAGCAGTTCAACTTTTTGCTTAAAGGAGAATGCCTTTTATTCACAATTCACCATGCTGTGTTATATTCAATGTAGTAATCTTTCCTTTTATTCATTCCAACAATATTGTAAAGTTTATGAATCACTGTAATAATGACAGCACTAGGCTTGCAGAGGGAATTTCACCAAGTCTGGTTTATGTGCACTGCATTGTTTAATATCCACTGAAAAAGTTCAAATTTACAGTATAGCTGATTTTGGATCTCTATCTCTGTCACTGTGTCTCCCTCATTTGTATCTACCTACCTATCTGTCCATTATCTGTTGCCATCAGAACGATCATCAATCTTGCATTGAATTTTAGACAGACAATTTTCTACTCAATAAGCAGTGTGTTCAACGTAACAATGCAGGAAAGCCCCTCTTTGAATATTCAGCAACAAAATGGCATTTGGATATTTTGTATACTTTTTGATCCATGAGCATTTTTGGTGAAGCACTTGTGTTATTATTTATAAAACAAACCATTTGCCAATTGGTAGGTGTGTTCTTTGTTAGCTGGTTGAGTCATTTCAGCTCTAAGAGTGATTTCAATGGACACAATGCCAACTCTTAGCTGATGGTCATGTCACTGACATGTTGAGATGCAAGTCAGCATTTACGACTTACCGTAGTCTTGGGTTTGGTTCCAGAACTGGTCACCTGGATGGAAGATGCCAGGTCAGAGCACTCAGTGTTGGAAGACACATTTTCTTGAGTCTGAAGAACTGAGATAATATCTGCTCCACTTTCAGATCCAGGTTCCAGATCCTGGAAAAAACAAATGCTTTGATATAAAGGGTACGTGAACGTTTCATTTCTTTCTCCCAACCTTCTTCCAACCTTCTTGTCACTACCAACACACATTAAAAAACTAAAGAATTGTTCACAACTGATACTGACATGACATTCACAATGAAAGAAGTAGCATGTCACTTTGATAACTGGACAGTTCAGGGTTGGAAGGTTGGTGGCTAGCATGTATCTAGCATGTAGTCATTTTCCCTGAATGTCACCTATTATTATAAATGTTTTAATTCACAAATATACACATGAGGTAAAACTATGTATATTGGGTAGATGCAACGATTCATTAACTTTGGCCAAAGCTGTGCATTAAATTTATCAGATACTCTTTTAGACTTAGAAGAAACTTGACTGCATAGAAGAGAGGAAGCAGTAAGGAGGATGTAACAGGAAGCAGCAAAGGTCCAAGTTACCCTATGTATTCAATGCAAGGAACTCATCAATTAAATATTTCTACATTGGGGTGCTTGCAGTGCCTCAACAAGCTAATCCTCCACCCTCAAATTCCAGCATCCTGCATGGGTGCTGGTTCATGTCCCAGATGCTCCTTATCTGTTCCAGCTCTCTGTTTATGGCCTGGGAAAGCACTGGAGGACGTCCCAAGTCCTTTGGACCCTGCAGCCATGTGGGTGACCTGGAAGAAGCTCATGGCTCCTGGCTTTAGATTGGCTCCACTCTGAGCGATGCGAGCTTTTGGGGAGTGACCCAGTGGATGGAAGATCTTTCTGTCTCTCCTGCCCTCTATAAATCTGCCTTTCAAATAAAAATAAACAGATCTTTTAAAAATACATTTCTATGTCTACTATTTCTGTTTCAACCTTTCCATTGTCTGTATGGTCTACCCTTTACACACTCTCTGGCTCTTTGCATTACAAGTCTCCCGTTTCTTAATATGCTCTGGTCATGTAGGTTCAGTTTCTGATACACCACGTTGGCTTTTTAACAACAAGGACTATGCTCTTTGCTTTGCTGGTCCTTTCTTTTCACTCAGGTCTCAACTCAAATGCCACTACCTGAGAGAAGTACTTGTTGACATTTCAAGCTAAAGCAGTTTCTCCCCTTCACAGGACATGGCCTGTTATGGACACAGTCTTACTACATTGTTTACCTAACATGCATTATTTATGTTCACCATCTATCTTTTGATCCATCCATCTACTTATATTCATATCCACATAACCATGCCTCTCTGTTTATAATTCTTGTCTGTAACCTTTTATTAGTATGCAGGCATCACTACAGCAACAGGGTCTTCATTTGTCATTATTCATTTGTATATCTTGAAATTTTAGAATACTGCCTGCCACACAGAATATGGTTATTAAATATTTGCACAAGAACAGCAACACTGACAATTAACTTTTCTTTGATTACCAGGTTGTTAAAGACATACATAATATTACTGAATATGAACATGCTATATTCTTCAATCATATGTGGTTGTATATACACAAAATACAAAACGGGGGTAGAGGTCTGATGTAGCAGGGACGGCTGCCTCCGGTGATACTGGAATCTGATTTAGGACCTGGCTGCCTCACTTCTGATCCAGCTCCCTGTTAAAAGCCTGTGAAAAACAGCTGGAAATGGCTCAAGTGTCTGGTCCATTATAGCCTATGTGGAAGACAGATGAAGCTCCTGGCTCCTAGCTTCAACCTGGCCCAATTTGACCATTGTAACAATCTGAGGAATGAATCAGTAGATAAAAGATTCTCTTTCTCATTCTTTATCTTTCTCTCTGAAATTCTGATGCTCATAAATAAATAAAATTAAAAAGGACAAAACCTATAACCTTAAATTTCTCATTATAGAATTATTTAAGATTAGAGCCATTTTTCTGGTTATTTTTTTACATGGAAATGACAAAATTCTTTGCATAAAATGTTCCTTCCTGTTTATATTAGAATCTTAAAGTCATACAGTAGGGAGAATTAATTCTAGAAGCTGCGTGTGAGATTTAAGGGGTAAATGTAGAAATATTAGCCACTGAAGACTTGCAAAGCAACTGTTGAAGAGTAAGAAGATAGAAAAGTAGAGTATTCTGGAGCCATGAGAGGGGTGAGAACCAAGAAGAAGAGTATGCACAATAGCATCAAATGCCCACCTTGAGCCTGAGGAGTTTCCACAAGGTGTGTCAGACAGAAGGGTTTGTGGAAAAATGATATATAAATGGTCAAAACTTGAGCAAGCCAGAGTATTAGGTGCACATGGAATTACGACTTAGCTTTTCAAAGGAGGGGTGAAATGGGACATTCTTAAAGGTCAAGGGAAACTATTTTGTAAATGTCTGTAAAAAAAAAATAAAATGATATTTCTTACCAATCCACTCTCCTCTCCCTATTGCTAATAGAGTATGCTCATAAAAAGAGGGGTTTTTATAAAAGGTATGTGGTAGAAAAAAACCAGCATTGGTAAATATATGCATTACAGAGAAAAAAGGAGAATATCTAATAGGCAATAGTGCAATGAATTTTGAAGCCATGAGCAGATGAATAATTGGTGGAGCAAAGTCAGGAATTGGGAGGAAGTGCAGAAGATGGCAAAGACAGTAAGAGCAGTTTCAGACTACAGGAGTAGCATCTATTTTTGATGTAAGAGGAAGAAAGAAGAGGCATCCAGAGTTGGAACTGCAAATTGGAACTCAAACCCAGCAACTTGGCTATGGGATGTGAGTGGCATCTTAACTGCTGTGCCAAACACCTTCTCTTCTACCTTTATTTTAGTATTTTTTCTTTCAAATTGATTTCATTGCCAAATAGTCTATGGTTTATCATTCATAGTTCTATGTAGAAGCCATCATAGAATTTTCTCATAAATATTTTTAAAGTAGGAATGCGGATCTTGAATTCATTCTATTGTCTTGGTCTTCCTGCTAAACTGCATACTCAGTGCTATAGGAGGGTGGGGCAGAAACACTTTGTATTCTGCATCTGGAACAGTTGGTAGACAATCATGGTCATAACCATGCCATTATAACCCATGTATTCCACAGAGCAATTATCAAATGGAATGGAAAGTGCCTGTGGAAAACTTCGGATGATGAGAGAGTACCTTGGCTTTAATATACTGAGGAACAGAAACAGAGAACAAGGGATGCCCTAGGAAAACATAAAGGACAAAAAAGCAGTTTTGAGGGCAGCAGGACTTTTTTTTTATGAGTGTCTGGTCTGGATCCAGGGTGGAAAGGAAGGGAGTTAAAAGTTGCTAAATATATGTTGGATCTGTGCACGACCTTCACGATGTTCTTACACTTACTCATTCCAACAAGCCATTAGCTAGCAACAATATTTCCTGACAAATGTAAAAGATGTTCTCATGTTCCAAGACAGTTAGTAACAGAAGTGATACTGAACCCAGACCAGTGCAGACTTCAGTTCCTATTTCTACTGTATTATTTTTGCCTATTCCAACTACATATTGAATTTAGAGCTTAGAAATACAGCTCTATGTACAGAGACAACAATTGGGGTGATATTTCATGAGACACAATTTGTAAAATAAAATCCAGCCTCCATTAAATGAAGAGAGAAATGTGAATGTGGAGCAATCTTAAAATCATCACTCAGGTTAGTTCCTGTTTCTGTCTTTACCATTTAACACAGATCCACGACTACAAGGTAAGGTCTTGATTTCAAAGATGAGATAACACAAGGCTATGTTGGGCACAAGTCTGGGCAGTGTTCTTTTCTTTTCCCTACATACACAGAAACTGAAAAAAGCTGGATGTGGTGGGAAAGATAAAGATTGAAAAAACAAAAAGCATCGAATTAGATTTCTCCACAGCTGTCATGAACTAACAGAACCAGGTATCCTGCATGAAGCCAGCAGACCTGGTGCACCTGTCCCACTTCAAGGAACAGATTGGTACCAGGAAGGATCTACCATGGAGAACAAGAAAATCTGCTCCCTCATGTAGTTGGTGAGTGCAGTGACAAAGAGGTGAACAGCTCCAAGTGGTGGCTTTTTTAAAAATAAAGCAAGACATGTCAGCTGAAAAAGTCAGCAGAAATAAATGCTAGCAATATAGATAGAGAAACATCTCTAGCTGAGGTGGAAATCATGTATTGAAAAACAGCCAAGCATCCCCTAAATGAAAAACACTCAGGGTTAACTGCAAGCTCAAGAAAGACGACGACAAATGAAGGTGAATCAATAAGCAGGATTCAGTGAAGAATCCACAAAATCAAACAAAAAACAGCAGCTTTTTTTGCAATGAAGATGAAAATGAGTAAAGAATTTGGGCTCTAATGCTCATTTGAGAGCATTTACAGTGCTTTAAAAAATAGTTATCCTATTACAAAACCAATATTAATTCATTCTAGAAAATGACAAAATATAGATGAAATGTCATACAATTAAAAAAAAGTCTGTTACTACACCTCCACCTTGAAATGTCAACTCTGTGGAAATTAACTCATATTGATATTTTGCTTTCCCCACATAAGGGTGTGTTTCCATGTGAGTTATATTTTCAAACAAAATTGAGGATGTATTGTGTATGTTCGTTCTATTTATTTCTTTATTGCAAAGTCAGATATACAAAGAGGAGGAGAGACAGAGAGCAAGATCTTTCATCTGATTGTTCACTCCCAAGTGGTCACCACAGCTGGAGCTGCGCTGATCTGAAGCCAGGAGCCTGCAGCCTCTTCTAGGTCTCCTATGCAGGTGCAGGGTTCCAAAGCTTTGGACCCTGCTTTCCCAGGCTACAAGCAGGGAGCTGGATGGGAAGCAGGGCTGCTGGGATTAGAACAGGCGCCCATATGTGATCGATCCCCTGCGCGTGCAAGAAGAGGACTTTAAATGCTGAGCTACCGCCTTGGGCTCTGTATGTTCTTTACTCTGTTTTTCACTTGTGTGCATTTTCAAGTTATAGATTCAAGGAGCCACCGTTATACAAATGGGTGCCAGTTAATATTCTGGGTGCTCCCCTTCTGCTTCATCTCCCTGCGAATATCTTGGAGAAGCAGCAACTGGTGGCCGAGTGCCTGAGCCTATGCTGCCAAAAAACTCCTGGCTCCTCGATTCAGCGTGGTGCAGTCTGGGCTGTTGTAGCCATCCGGGAAGTGAGTCAGCAGATGGAGGATCTGTGTCTCTCTCTCTGTTTGAATCTCTTTTAAACAAATAAACTTTAAAAAAAATCGTTAAACAAACAAAACCCCGGAAAACAAAAACAAGCCCCACAAAACCACCAAAAAAAACAAAAGAGAAGCTAACAAACATACCAGAAGCATGTGTGAATGACAAAAAAGTACTAAAGTCATACTATTATTGAAAAATGTGATTGTTAATCTTAGCTTTTGAAGAGTTGATGATGCTTGTATTGTGGTGCAGCACAAAATGCTCCTTGCAATGATGGCATTCCATAAGAGTACTGGTTTGAGTCCTGGCTATTTCACTACCAGTCCAGCTCCTGGCTCACACATCTGGAAAGCAGCAGAACTGGCCTAAGTGCTTGGGACCCTGCCATCATGATAGGAGACCTGGATGGAGTTCCAAGATCCTGGTTTCAGCTCAGCCCAGCCCTGGTCATTGAGGCCATCTGGAGAATGAACCACCAGCCTCAAGACCCCTCTCTCTCTTTCTTTCTCTTTGACTTTCCCTTTCTTTTTGCCACACTCTTTCAAATAAATCAACCTTTATTAAAAGAAATGCTGATGAAAGTGAGTTTAAAGCACCGTTAAAATTTTCACGTGAAAACAAAATTAAAATATTTCCTCCCACTGACTCTGAGGAGCCTACTTTGATGGCATGTTGTCTGTTTGCACTAAGGCAGCCCCAGGGTGGGAGATCTTGACTCTGTCTAGGAAGAAATAATGCAGCTTAGGGAAAATTCATGGTGAAGAAAATATTTACAAGGAGTCCTAAAGGATATAAAAACAATTATGCAGATTATGAACAATAGAAAACATATTATTCTTTCTAGTTTTCAAGTTTGAAATATTTAGTTTCATATTTATTCATTTTTAATTAACTAGTTTTGCATAAGCTATAAAATTCCCAGTAGAGAAGGTAATATAATGGAATGGTAAAAATGAAAAAGCACTGGACTAAGACTGACCGAGTTTGCCATCTCTAACTCAAGCAATAGCTAACTTCTCTATGCCTTTGACTTATTTGAAAAACGGCTATGAAAAATGTTAACATGTGTAAATTACTTAGAAAGTACGTAGTGCATCCTGAAATTTGCCCTTATTTGTTAATTTATTTGAGAGGAGAGAGAGCAGAAAAAGAAGGTCCTCCCATCTGCTGCTTTACTTCCAATACTTTGTGTTGGCCTGTGGTAGGAGCTAGGAACTCAATTCATGTTTCCCACGTCGTTGGCAGGAACTCAGTTATCAAAACCATCATTGTCACCTCTCATTGTGTGATGGGCCAAAAGGCAGAAACAACAGCCATGGGTGAGACTAGAACTCGCATTCTGATGTGAGATACTGGCAGTGTTAATGATTAGAGATAAGCACCTGTTCAGTAGCTCTTATTTTAATCAGTTTACTCTGGAATAGTCTGCTTCACAGAACAACTGTGGGATGACTTCAGAACCAGTGCTAGGATTATGCTAAGGTAAGAAAATGATTTCAAATAATTCTATTTCAGTAGGTACTCAGATTAATGTATAGAAGTATGGTTCAAACAGTTTGTGAGAAAATATAATGAAAAGACATTTATTTTGACATTAAAAAGCTTGAAAATTATAAATTTTTCCATAATGCATACTTTCATGATTTTTTTTAAAGGTCCCAGGTAAAAGTGTCTTAGTGTAATCCTTCCTATTTAATGTTCATTTCCTCTGGTAGCACCCATTTCTCTGCAGACTCCCTGAATAAAAGCAAGCGTAGGAGAGCATGGAACTATTTGAACGATTGAAAAAAAATCTCTTAGGATTATCATAAAAATTATACATTTGCAAGAGACGCTGTCTGAGGTAAAGAGACAGCATCCAGACAGGCAAAGAAGGGGGCAGTGACAAGCTTACAGGGACATGTCGGCGCAGGCTGGCTGGCGTGCTGGATGGAGAGGAGTTGCTGCTGAGGGCGTTCTCGATGTCCTGGTCAAGTTGGTCCAGTTTCATTATTAGCAGCACCATGGAGTCCAGCCGTGCCCTGTCTCGATCTTCTCTTATTTCCTGAGGAACAGACAGAACATGTTATTACTGGATCTCAAAGGCCCACTTCTTGGATAGAATAAAATGTTCCCTGTTCTTTCATATGACACAAAGGACACTGGATAATAGGCAGTTTTCTACTTAAGCGGGTAGGAAAAGCTTAATTTGCTTCAACAATGAGCTCTTCTTTGGGCAAGACACAACTCAGTGCCAAGAAAGCATTTCATATGAATATTAAAATATAACTTATGGGACAAAATGCAATGAAAAAGCACAACATCAATGAGATCTTATACATGGTGCTTTCCAATTCATTATTCTTGGGAAAAGTTGTATATTAATAGCTGTGGTTAAAAATTGAAGGATGCATATGAGATCATATTCCTAGAAGAATATATTTTTTTAAAAGACATTCATTTACTTTGTAAAGACAGAATAATGGGGGCTGAAGGGAAAAAAATGATTGCTACAGCTGTGGATGGGCCAGGTTAAAGCCAAAAGTCTAGGACTCCATCCAGGTCACCTACGTGAGTAGCAATGGCCCATGCATTTGGGACATCTTTCGCTGCCTTCCAGGTGCATTATCAGGAAGTAGAATAGGAAGTGGAGTAACCTGGATGGAACCAACATTCTGACATGGGAGGTGGGTGTCCTGAGCAGTTACATAACCATTGTAACAACCTTGCAAAGCCTGGGGAAATATTTCTGGGCATATAATATATACATACTTTATATATATGTGTGTGTATATATATATGTGTGTGTTTCATATATATGAAAAGACTCAAGTAAGGCAGATTCTTGGTTTGTGTAGTGGGTATTATCCCTTGCTAGGGCCACTTATGTACTAAAAGCTGTGTCAAACTGTATCATTGCTAATATTTCTTTCCAAGATTTTTTTCATTCTCGCACTTTACCAAAAAAGGACAGAGAGAAACCACTTCCATCCACTGGTTCACTAGCCAAATTGTTGCAACAGCCAGGGCGAGGCCAAACTGAAACAAGGAGTTCAGAACACCCTGGGACTTCCACAGAGGTGGTATGGATCCAAAAACTGCTGCCTCTCGGGGTCTACATTAGCAGAAAGCGGGAATGGAAGCAAAGGAACCAGTACTCAAGCTAGGCACTCTGATAGAGGATAGCTGTCCCAAATGGGGTCTTAACTGCTATGTAAAATGTCTGCACTGAGTTCTCTATATTTTAATCAGTCAGAGCAGATGGTTAATGTGACAAAGACATTATCATTTGGATGTCAAATAATAGGATTATTAGATTAAGTTGGTCAGAGGACCAATTAAGCAAATATTTGATTATTCGAATAAGCTGAATTTGCACTTGGTTTAACAAATTAACACAAACTGAAAGAATTAGGTTTATTTCTAAAAGGACTGGTTAATTTTGAGAATAGATTATAAGAATTTTCTGAGATGTGATAATGACTTCAGACTCCTGTGTCATTTTTTACTATTTCAGTTTCCTCACATTGTCCCTGATGTATGATACACTGAGTAATGCTCCAACCTGGATTAGAAACTTTCATCATCAGAAAGTTTTATTGTATTTAACCTATTAAGTCCCAGGTTTTTAATTCTGTAATTACTTCACAGAAATAATATTTATTGCAAAGTTATGATAATTGATATATTTATTATTTAAATCTTTAAAGGAGTCATATTTATGAATGATGGGACATAATGGGTTAAATGGTATCATAATATTTGCAAACAAAACTGAACCTTTCCCTCATTGCTACAGGACTGTTATCTTCAAAGCAAATTATCTCCAGTAAGATTCTATTTATTAAGTTCCAGAATATTAGAGATAATTTAGACTATTTACCTCTAAATCTTTCAGAAAATGGACAAATTTGAATAATGATTAAGTCAGCTTAATTATTCCTCCAATGTACTTGTTTCTATACTTTTCTTCTCTCAGAAAAGATGTGTTTGGCAAGATGACCTCCTTTGTATCCCCGCATCCATGTATGTTTTTGTGTAATTGTCTTTTCTTACTATAATATAATCAAGGACAAACATTAGGTTCTTCCCCATCGGAGACAGAGTCACGCTACATACTGCACACACAACACGTTTTCAGGAACAATAATAGTGACACCACACAACTGATTGAGTGAAACACTAGGATTGAGTGAAACAACACCTCTCAAAGCCTTAGAAAATGTATCTTGATATTCTTCCAGCTCCTAAGTTAGTGTTGGATAAAGCAGTATATCCTGCAGCTATCCTGGCCCCTGGTTGTTTCCGAAACAATTTGTCTTTGAATTAACTGGATGCTGAGACTTTGCTTTAAAAACATTTTCAAATCCATGGACTAAGCATCAAATTAATTCAAATGATCTGCCAAAGGGAATAAACCAAACAGTCTTGATCTACAGGATTCCTCTGGAGAAATAAGCCCATCCCTTCTTCCTTTCTTTCATGAATGCTTCCTTACTCACCATCCATTACGCTCAAGTCTATCACATGTTGCACGTTCATAAAAGCTGCTAAAGTAGAGTGACTGCAAATCTGACTCTTTGGATAAGTATTGTTGACCCTGTTTTTAAAGTCCAAGTATTAAATATTGTTGACCCCATTTTTAAAGTCCAAGTATTACTATTTCACAAAGTTCTAACCTTTCATATGTTCATGGCTAAACTCCAGCAAATAGCTCATGCCTGGAAACAGCAGTGTATTTGTAGATTTTGGCTAGGTGAGCTGGCTCTTCAGTGGATATTCAGTTTCATACTGTCACGATGGTCCACGAAGAGGAACTTTTTAATAAATGAATTTTCTTATTAATGTAATCAGTCTTCAGTAACTTAACCCCTTCAAATCAAGGACTATATGCTCAGTTCTCTTCACTTGCATATGTCTTTCCTCCTTTAGTCACAGCTGTTCTGGCCCAAGCACTTTTTAAAGGAATGAATATACACTTATGAATGAGACAAATGAGATCATCATTTTCCTGAATATTGTAACAAACCATGGGAAGACTAGCAGTGAACATAAAAAATTATAAATAAGATAGCTTCATTTGAACAAGTATAAGAAGAAAATAAACAGAGCAATAAAATACAGAGTAACTGCAGAGGTAGCATTCCATTTGGTATTTGCTAGTCACAGGAAAGCATTCTACAGAAGTGATGTTAAGGCATGATGATTGGAGGAAAGAAGGAGAAAGAGATAAAGGAAATGTGTGTGATAAGGAGGAAGAGGCACAGGAGGGGAAGAAGGAGCAGAAATAGAAGGAAGATTGAAGAAGACAATGTTCCAAGTGGAATAAAGAATAATACAATGATACTGAGATGTGAATTAATTTTGCTAGTAAGTGAATCAAAAACAAAGGTTACTGAAGTTGAAGGAGACTGGTTTGCAGGGGTTCAATGGGGCTGAAAATGAGTGATAGGCAAAGCGCACTATGTACTGAAGGCCAGTGTAGAGGAGTGAAATTTACTTGGTGATCCAGAAACTACACATAATTAGCATATGCTAGTCTTGATTATTTTTGTAGTTCTGGTCTTTTTTTCTTATTGTGAAGTCTAAATTGGACACACATTAGAGTGATGATAAGAAATAACCTATAAGAAAGTCCTACATGTTTTGATATCACAGAGTAAAAGCAAAGGGGAGTAATTGGGGAACATATTTCTTAGGAGTAGGAGGTGCTGGGGAGCAATATGTTGGTGTTTAGCAACTGCATCTCAAATAAAATGCTCTGATTTGTAGAACCTCTGAATTCTATGCTGTGAAAACTACCCTGGCTGGTTTTATGCTATTATCTAGACATTGCTGAAGACAGAATGTGGAGAGATAAATGAAATTCACTCTTGTGAGCTGGTGTGAGCTGTACATGTTGGGTTCAAACACACTGGGAATAGAGGCTAATAGGATAATTATTCCTAGGATTGGACTTGAATATAAACCTTAATAGTTAAACCAATAGTTTTTTTTTAAAAAAATTATTTTGATGATCTTTACATAGTTGGTTAAGGCTCAAAGGGTCAAGGCTACAGGAAAGTGGGTAAGACCATTGTTTCCAGAGAATCAAGATGGCAGAATAGGGTAAGGATATGTTTGAATGTACAGAAAAATATTTAATCGGGATGAAGCAGAGAGGTCATATTCCAGGAAATAGGAATAGACAGAGCAACAGCAGAGGGGTACCTGGAGACTGACAGATACAGGAAAGCAGCAGACACAACGGTGTGGAGCTGCAGTGACATACTCCAGTGGCACTCAGCTAATGGCGATCTGAACTCCACCAGCAACCAGGTGGGAAGGGACTTTCACTGGGAGCTTGGGAGGTAAACCCAGACAAAGAACTGTCCGTCCTGCTGGTCTGTTTGATTTGACCAGAAGCAGAGACAGAGCAGCACTTCCCAGATGGACAGTGTGAGAACTGGGTGGATTTCACAGCCTAGTCAGCCCCTTACAGCCAAATTGGGCGCCATTTTGTGTAAGGAGGAAAGGGCAAGGGAAAGGACTGAGCATGCGCTGAGCTGGGAGTGAACTCATTTCTGACTCAGTGAACTGCATTAATGTGACATTCTACAGGTTCCACTCAAGACAGATCTGGGTAGGCCTCAGACCTAATGGCCAGCAGATCAAGAGCTCTAGTAGTGGCACATCAGGCGCCATTTTGTACACCATGGCAAAAATTTTAGACTGCAGGGGACAACAGTGAACTTTGCATGTGCTGATCTCATAAGAACTCACTGAGGTCCTGCAGGAAAATAATACCGACTGTGGCATCGTATGGATAAAAATAAGTTCGTGTGGCACCCAGATCTAACGTCCAACAGGTTCCAGAGAGATCAGCGCCACCAACAACCTAACTAGATAGGACACCTGGTGTCTCTCTAATCCTGAGACTTGCTCCAACTGAAAGTGGGAGAAAGGTGGCAGAGACAACAGTGCAGCCTCAGCATGGTATCACAGGAAGTGGAGACTGCTGAGAAAGGAGCTGGGTCTGTGGAGACCATGATGGAAATCTAACATAAGAACCCAGCCCTGGAACTT